CCCCAAAACCCCAAAACCCCAAAACCCCAACCCCAAAACCCCAAAACCCCATGATCCATAATCGGAAAGTGATAATATTATTACCTTATTAAAGAAATAAATGATTTATAGTAAGCTCATAAATCTATAAATTTAGATTTAATAAATATATTCATCTATCTGTATAATATTGAATCAGGTTATATTCTATATTATTTGCTTTTTCTAAAATGCAATCTCTTCATTGGACAGCCTAAGTATTTTATAGGGGATCAAATTAGCTAGTGAAAGAATTCAGATAATCAATAGCTCTCATTTTTCTTAGTCTAATCCTTTTGATTCCCAAAATCTCAATCTCCTCTTTTCTAACATCGTCACTCATCATTTACTAAGGCAGATCTTACAAGCTTAGTATATTCTTGTGATGGTGATGATGAATGAATGATTTCTATGCATTGGTGGGAGTAGGTATCATGTATTGAGTCAAATTGGCGCTGTCTTCTGATCTCTTCCTACCCCTAATGCTTTTACAATAAATATCAGTGATATTTTATGTACTTTTACTCATCCTCTTATTTCTTTCCCTTCCACTACCTATACCTAATCCAATCTCAGTGTTTGTATCATCTCTTAACATGAAATTCGTAATATTAGTAGTGGCTGTATTATTTACATATTGCCTGTCCATTATATCCTTGTTCAAGTTATCTAGTTGATATTAATCCTAAAGTTTAATCTATTACTGCAGTTTTTCATTAAACTTAGATCTCTTAAGGATGTTATTAGTCTATGAAGAAGTAGGACTCATGTTTTTAGAGTCACTAAACAGCTATTTATTGATCAAAACTGCATATTTTTTAAGTTTTTTCTTGAATTCAGTTGATACCAGGTGATTTTCATCCTTGATATTATTGATTTTAAGTCTGATTTGATGTTTATTAGGTTATTTAGGGGTTAAGTCAACTGCTCCTGATTTTTGTTAGATCAGATACTTGCTTAAAATATCTGATCGATCTGATTTAATAAGTTGAGTCTGATTAAGATTGCATCTTACCTTACTTTTTATCTTTAATCTTAAGGGCTGAGGGGAACTTATTCCGCTTCGTGATTTTGATGATGATTGCTTACTTTTGATTGAAAGAGGACTATTTATTGCACGATTGGAGAAGATATGTAGACTTTTGTTATTTGTTTTAATTTTCTTGATTAAATCTTTGTTCATTCGAATATAGTCTATTCTTTTGACTTTTCTCCCATTGCTTTCAGATTCCTCTATAATGGAATCATCTGACATGTCTTATATCTAAATAGGTTCATCATTGTTGTTAAGATTATTTTGATTCTATTAATTTTTATTGCCACCATCTGGATGATTATTATTAAGATTGTTCCAACTTACTTTAGCTTTGTCATAAGTGTAAATTTGACTTATATCATTATTATTGCTCTACATTTCCCCTTGACTAATTTAGCTTGTAGAGTTTTGCGCATTACTAATGTCAAATCTGACATTCTTGTTGGAGTTATTTTTCCTATTCGGCTCATTTAACTGGCTATTTTATCTAATAAAACCCCCATTCACAAGTTTGCTATATCTGACTCTATTAGGGTTCATTGCAAAGCTGTAATGGTTTTGTCAATTATCAGCTGAAGGTGTCTTATTTATATCTGCGATAAAATATCCTATTTATTGGCTTTTATTGGTGCTTTAGCTTTCCTATGAGGGAGTCTTTTACATCAGATTATCAATCTTCTCTTTGATTCTTCTTTTAACGTGTGTATTAGGACGAGTAGGATTTCTATGTTTGTAGCTTTAGGGCTCAATTAGAAAATTATGCTGCCTTTTACTCTACGACCGATTCTTAGATCTCGATTCTGGAGAATTCGTCTCATGGAATAATTACCTTGTCTTGAGATACCTACCCTTAGTAAAATCCTCAAATAGCATGGACTCATCCTTCTTTGTTTTCTTATAGGAGTCTATGATCTTTTTAATGTAGAGGTCTCCTGTATTATTGGTGTCTTTTAATATATCTTTCGATATTCTTTACCAACACTTGGAGTATTAGCTCTGCATCATTGGTGAAATATTTCTAGGATCGTCTTTAGTATTATTTGTAAGGTTATTTTACAGCTCACACTTGCTTTTTTAAACAATTTCTTCTCTCTCTGTATATTCACTTTATCAAGGTGAGTAATTAATCAATGGGTATCCGAATACTGGTACTTTGCCTTGCTCGAGTATCTACCCAAGTTATTCTTTAATAGTTTTGCGAAACTAATCTAAATCTAGACTGCTTTTATTGGACTAAGAAATTTTTGCTCTCATTTTATAAGTATTCGACATATAAATAAATTTTATGTTAATATTTTGCAACACTAAAAAAATATTTCTTTTTTCTAAAATTTCATTCTATTGTATCATTTAGGGGTTTTGGGGTTTTGGGG